TGGCTACTGTTGCTTTGGAAAATCGTTGTACCGTGAATAATGATTGATACACGACCATTTGTTTGTCGGTAGTTATTGACAAACTCCGTAAAAATAACCGTAAACACCGTATCATCTTGCACCACGATAACGACAGAGAAACGAATTTTTGAAGGTGAACAACGTTGACCTTTTGGGTCATCCCGCGTATAGTCGCGACCTGGCACCTTGTGACTTTTATTTATTTCCAAAAATTAAGAACCAGTTATGCGGTCAACGATTTTCATCGCCTGAAGAGGCTGTCGAAGAGTACGAAAAATATGTTTCAGATATTATCACGGAGGAGTGGCATAAATGTTTTCAACATATTGGTTCATTCGTATGAAAAGTGCATTAACGCTCACGGAGAAAATTTTGAGAAATAATAAATTAATTTCTGACCATTTATAATATTTTTTTCTTATTCATTCCGGAAACTTATAGTGCGCCCTACGTATAGTCGTTATGATACCGACCCATGATGATAAATTTAAAAAAATCACTTCAAAAGTTCTCGTGGATATTAAATTTGTTTGTGATTTTTTTTAGGGATGCACTTAGTGATTTTCCCAAAAAACACATGTTGAATAACTTTTAATTCGTAAATTCCAGACCACAAAATTGTAGTCAAATCGATTGAAAATACCCAACTTTACCTCCTCATTTCGTTTTGACCATCATTTTCGGGCCACCCTGTACAGTGCAATGGCGTCGACCGCATTTATAAGATACATTCGCGTTAATAAGTGATAATTTTGTATCTCCTTCGAATGTATACTTTGGAAATAACATATGTTACTAAGAAATAATACAAATGTGCCGTCATTTCTTCTCGTGTATTTACAGAGACCGCGGCTAATGGACAAACAAGGGCGCCGTGGTTGCTCAGTTAGCTCGTGTCGGCGACATGCTCCCTAACAGTTTATTTTTCCTGTTCGACTTCAACTTACAAGCTTGTTCTATCCATAAACTAAGAACGTACTGGCATAATTCTTAGTTACAAGATTGACAATAAAAATTAAAACTAATATAATTATTCGAAAACATTTCTTCTGTTATTTATCATTTCATTACCTATTTAAGTTTATGCTGGTAATGACCAGTGATCTGAATTGAGGCTCATGATCGAGGGAGTTAATTTAGCTAAATTAAACAATAATGTGGACATTCATTTCTACAAATCCCGCGAGTTTTCGGAACTGATTATATTTAAATATGCGTATTATTTATAGAAATTTGAATATATTGGCGACAAATTACCATTTCCTATTAAGTATTTATATAAATATGAGACAAACTATATCTTGGTGTGTTTAGAAAGTAAACAGTAAAAACGCATTGATAAAGAAATGGGTATGTCCAGTCTATATAACTGGTACTTTCAACAATTATTTACTTTATTTAGTTCTGTGGAAAATTGTATGTTCCTTCTTTTATTTGGATGGCGACACCCCGTGTATTTTATGACCCAGTGTTTTTGACGACGTGCATTAAAGAGACCTAATACTTGTGATTCATAATCAAAGTATCAAAAAAGCTAATTGAGTACAATCCGTAAAAGCTGGCGTTGTAAAGTTGATAGAGGTTATGCTTATAACATTGTCCTATATTTTGCTTCACATGTTTGTTCGTAGTCGCAGAGTACAAGTTTTCAGTTTGTTGCTAAAAATAATAAAGAACTTACTGAATATGAAATTAATACAATGTTAACGTGTTCTGTCGCAATGGAAATTAATAAAAATTATTCTTTCATTCATTCTTGTCAAAACGTTTCTTTGCTAACTTTCGTATCTCTCATTTAAATATTGTCTAAATATTTTTGTCACATTGTGTTTTATTTTTTACTTTATATCATTATTCTTTGATTGATTATTTGATTAGGAATTTTATAGCTTTAATGTTTTATGTGTGTACTATAAAATAACCAATACTTTAGGTAGGTAAATATCAATCGTGTTTAAAATGTAACGTACGTACAATAACGTTATCTAATCTATGGTCGCGTTATCTATTGCGTTATGTTATCTATTCTGAAGACATTGTTTTGTAATTTCTTTATTCCCGGCTTCTAAAAATATACAAAAATATATTGATAACTAGGCACAAACTAAAACGTAAAATTATTTTTTATTAGCAAAGTCCATGAACGGCTCTTTGTTGATTTTGGGTCAGCTTTCGCCATCATTTTCTGTTATTATTGTAATTTTTAAGTTTATTGAATGCCACGATATTTGACCTCATGATATTCAATTATTTTTGTAAAATTACTCCACTACTTTGTAATAATTATTAATACAAAGATCGAACACTAAGAAAAAAATTAAAAACGACTGGATTCGAACCAACTACTAGTTCGTTCCGTGGCTTAGTTGGCACAGCGTCTTGATAACTAAGCCACGGAAGCGGACCTTACGAATTTTTCTATGTGCTTCTTGCAGAACTTTGTATTTGATATTTAATTTATGTGGTCTGTGATATTTAACGACTTTTCCGACGTAGCGCCAAGCAAATTCGTTATTATTTTTAAGTGGTTTAATATAGTTATTATAATCTTAGTTTTAGTTGATTTTAGTAAATAAGTTGTCATAGAAGTGAATAAAGTTTTTAATCTATCTATGAATCTAACATACAATATACAATTTTGTAACAAACGCATAGAGAAATAGCAGCTGACTCGATTAGTGCTCAGATGGCAGTGACGGGCCGAACGAGTCGCGCGCCTCGTAGTAAGCGACACGCCTGTCCATACAGTTGGTGGCAGTTACACTGCCAGTCAGAGCTTTAAATCGCAAAGACAGCTTCTGATATAAATTGACGAGTCCTAAGACCCTGTAATTTCACCTTTTTCCTCATTGACTTACAATTATATGGACGTCGGGTCCGCGCTAAAAAGTGTCCGAACTTATAGGGCGTTAAAATCGTATACAGAGCGTCATTCACGCTGTAGTCTTCGTTTGTTCGACTGACAGCGAAGCAAACAAAGTTAGACAGTACTGCGATGACATTACAATTTAAATTCAACGTTTTAGCTTTTTCATATACCTTTACATGTCACTACGTTTAAATAGGTTGACTTGAGACATTTTTTTCGTGGTTTGTGTATTAGACCCGTCGTCCATTTATTTGTAAGTCAATGTTTTTCCTAAAAAAATATGAAGCAGTATAAGGTAGCATAAAGACGCACAACGAGATGTGTATAAATGAGTTTCCCGGCTGTACTAGAATCAGTCATCTACCAACAGCTCAAACATTTCCATCTTATACTACCACGGTGCACTTGTAACCCCGACAACCTTCGCTTGCACCACGGCACTGTCATAAAAATGATTAAATCCCAAATGTACAAAATTCGAAAACAATATGTTTATTAATATCAGAATGGTGGTGGTGGTTGGCGACACGCCTCTCCAGCTACAGTGCCACTCAGAGCACTGCACTCGTCACTCCGAGACATAAAATTGACAAGTCCCTTATGCCTGTATTTTCAGTTCTCACCAAGAAGCTTGCACATTACTGTCATCGCAGAAATAGGTACGGTGCATTGGCTTACAAATAAATGGACGACGGGTCTAATACAAAAACCACGAAAAAAATGTCCCAAATCAACCTATTTAAACGTAGTGACATGTAAAGGAATATGAAAAAACTAAAACGTTGAATTTAAATTGTAATGTCATCGCAGTACTGTCTAATTTTGCTTGCTTCGCTGTCAGTCGAACAAACGAAGACTAAAGCGTGAATGACGCTCTGTATATGACTTTAACGCCCTATAAGTTCGGACACTTTTTAGCGCGGACCCGACGTCCATATAATTGTAAGTCAATGGTACGGTGGCAATAAGTCGATGAACTCAAAAGCTCACAAAAAGCTCTACTGCTACGTCTTTCCATATAGGATGGTAAAGAACAGTCTAAGCGTCTTTCATAGATAAAAGTACTACACGTCATTTTGACAGTTTCCGTCAATTACTTCATGTTTTATGTAATTTGTTTGAATATTGATTTTATTTGTTCAAAGAGTAATGTTATTTACGGAAACAATTTATGACTTTGTGATGTTTATTGTTTGATTTCTATATTTTATTCTACTTTTTTGGATTTGTTTGCCTTTTTACGCTTCATTGACAAAAGGCATTGCATTCCTATTCTGATGAAGGTACGTTGTTCGTCCTTCCATTTTAATCATTATTAGTGATCAAGCCAGTTACTTGCTTCATCGTCACTTCATATTTATCTATTGATGCTTGGAAAGCTAGTACGAAAGTGCTTAAAAGAATATCTTGGTTTGTATATGAGGGAGCGGATTTTATCGATGTAGTATCTCGCCCAAAGCTCTCAGTTGTACAGCCTTTTCCTCCTCTTGTACGACTCCATGTTTACCGTACCTTTTATCTTGTCTAAGTAACCGGTCGGCATGTTCACTACTACTGGTTTTGTCAGGTTTTCCTCGATTCACAGGTACAACCAAAGACCTTCAACTACTAGGCAACGCACTAACATACCTGATACCTTTTAATTTTGAGTCTTCATACGCATTCAACAGAAAGGCTTAGGGAATTCTAGCTTTTTGGTTGAAATTTGTATTTTTGAGTAATAATATTAAAGATCAAATTGATTTCTATAGTTTTTCAAAACGTCATTCGTTAACGGCGAATGGTGCAATAAGGAAGCCATATCAACATTAATGAATTTTACGAATCACTGGATAAAGGTTGAAGTTTGTTTAATACCTTTTCTTTACACTGATCTACTCTGAATCAAATGATATTTAGAGGGTCTGGTATCTAAGGGCGCAGGAGTTTAGTTCAGATATCGCCCCTAGTGTAACGGAACAAGATCCGTCAATGTGCAGCTCTATATGATGCCGTCTGTACATCGTTCGGTACGACGGAAACTACACTAAACGCACATGCATTCTGCATAATCTCATCATCTTTTTCAGACTTGTTAAACACAATATATTTAAAATAATCTTACTGCGCAATGAAGAAACAGAATCTCAAATATTCAACACGCGACCTTCATTCTGAAATAACTAAAACCAAATCGGATATCAATTTGTATCGAAGAGGCTCTTTAAAGGGCACCACTGCTATTACACAGCAAGACAATCACCATGTGACAGAAGTCTGCTCTGAAGGATTTAGCGATAAGAAAATTAAACCGTTCAGGATTACACCAATAGTTGTCACTGCCAGTAAGTTAATTTTGACGATGTGATTCTATCACACAATTCTATATAAGAAATAATGCTACGTGTTTTTGGTATGTGTCCGTCGCTTAGTCGTAGCTTTGATAATTACATAAATATTTTCTAAAACTGAATAAGGTAAATTTCGCAGTAATTGACGATTTTTGACAAAAAATCACGTATTTTGCCAAAACAGTAACTGACTACCTAGGAATGTAAATCTTCTAGAAACAATAAAATTATAAGCATTATTAAAATATTCCAGTTTTCCGCAACCTCTAAAATTGTACCAGTGTCTAATGTCCTAAAGTAAAGTAAAATAAGATCAGAGGACCAGTATTTGACAGGACGTTATGTTAAGATTTCATAGTTATTTGACTGGATTTATTGCGTTATAACAATAAACTAATAAAATAATAAATAACTAAGTCAAACGAGATGCTTTTATAAAAATTAATAAAAAATAAGCTTAAATGTCACACGGTCATAACGCATATTGTTTTAAATAACATAAAAAATATTTTCATCTTGCAGCGATAGGAATCCCTCTAGACTCTGTTTATCAGACGGCTTCAATACACGACCTTCCGAATAATGTCACACCTTTAGTGGCATTTTCTCATTGCACAATACCTCTAACCAATAATTGACACTAGTTACGTTCTAGTGTCCCAATCTGTAAAAAGTGTAATAATCTATTACGTTTGCTGTGAATGTAAACAGAATGTAAAGTGTAAAACTAATTTTAAAATTAGATGACCTTTAGATCATTTATTTATTAATTAGATTCAACATTAATCTGTAATCAGTCTTTCAAAAAACAATCATTTTTCTTTGTCTCACATAATTAATCAAATTGATTATTTGTTGTGCTATGTTAATGTTAGAAATAATCTATGAGTTTCGACCTATATTTAGTATTTAAAGTTCCAACTGCTCGGCTTTGTTTATCAATAGCTGATTTCGTTTTGCTTCATACCGGGGACCGGCCTAAGCGGGAGAAAGAATCGCGAACTCAACACGCACCGACTGGTAATTTTACACTTCAGAACCAAGTGCTCTAATAATAATTCTATTTAAGCTGCTTGTATACGAGGGATGTGCGATGTTGAAAAACACGTCGATATAATCCATCACAATGTTTTTAACAGTAACGATCAAACTAGCGATGCATCAGCAATTTTTTTCATTTTTTTTCTTTCAGATTTTACCATTTTTTTAATTTATAACAAAATGATAAAATGTTAGAATCCCCACATTTTCCTCACATAGCGCAAATCCCCACAAAATCCCCAATCTAGGTGAAATTCCCCACAATTTGGGGAATTCCCCACAAATTGGCAATTCTGGATACAATAGTCGTATTTCGCGCGCAAGCCGGTCATGGCCGGTCATGTTTATTGACAAATGAATAAGAAGTTTTAAAAACAATTGAGGCGTAGATAAATGAGGGCGTAAACTACTGTACTTCAATGTTGTGTATATGTATTGTGCCGTCTATCAATAGAATACAGTGAAATCATTGTGTGAAATGTGGTTGGCGTGAAGAAATAACCTCAATTTTGTAATGAAAATTTTATTTCTTCAACATAAGTTAGATATGTCATTAAAATATTCCTTATATAGGGAATTTATCCACCTTTCTAGTCATATATAACACATTCCATATAATTATACAGAATAACGTTTTTTTGCGACAAATTGGATTTTTTCAATTTTTAAGCCTAGTATTTTGAAAAGTTTCTTATTGCATAATACGCTCACTATTCCCTATAACTTTTATAAAGGTTTTGTAATACTGTCAAAAGAAAAAATCGCTTAGAAACATCGCGTTTTGTAGACAATCATAAAAGTTTCATAGGAGTTTATATTCTTCTACAAGATCAACTACACTAAAGCAAGTAAAAATAATCTTTTCGTATTTTAAAGTGTTTCTATAGATAAAGCTATAGACAAAATGCTCCCAACAGTGTTTTGAAAAAGCTTTAAATTCTTATCGCCATTTTTATTTTTAAATAATGACTGAAGTAGCCGAGAAAAAACTATTTTCTTTTTAAAAAGTAAATCTAAGCAGAAATTAGCTTGAAGAAACCTAGAACTTCTTGGAAATGGTTTGTTTTGTGAGTTATTTTGTATATTTAAGCTTCTATAAATATTTAAAACCGAAAATCGATAACTGTATTTTTATTAAGTTTATATTTTATACATAAATATTTAAAATTTAGCGAGCGCATTACTTTCATGACAGAATTTACATCACTTTACACAATGTATTTAAAGTCACACATCAATTCGCGCTTTCTAACCGATTAAACATTGCGCGAAAAAGTCAGAAATATTATATCTAATTTCGCCATGTTGCAATTTATATAGTTTATATTTTGTAAGCCATTAAACTTGAAATCTATTAGTATTAAGAGAATTGCGTCCTATGTTTGTAACGCTTCAGTATTTTGCTTTTAAAATAGCATTACTAAGAAAACTATCATAGACTATAAATTATCTAAAAACTGTCTACATGACTAAATAAAAACTGTCTACAAATGGTTTTGTAGCATTCTAGGGTTTATTCTAGGGTTACTTGAGAAAAAAGATAAGAATCACTCTTAACACTACCTACAGATAGCAAAGCTCATTTTCTCAAAGCACTCTTGTGATCTACTAACAAAGTTGTGCCCACTTTTACTTTAAATTATCTAGAAACCTTCTTCGAGATATCTTGAGGGAATTTGAACTCTTAAAATATTCAATCGAATTAAATTCTAATAGATATCTTATAGTATATATTTAGATATGGGTGTGCTGCTTGGGGTTTAATACCTCAATATACTACTGTCAAGCATTGGGTCCGCATAGTATAACAGTCTTTGACACCCATATCAAACACTACTCAAACTACCCATAGAAACTTGTCACTAACAGAGTGATCCGAACCTACGTTCTCCGTCCATACCAAATGGTCGAAATTCAGTCTTATAAAATATTCATATAACCGCTCACGCGATACATGTAGACGCATACCACACCCAGAGGTGCCGGTGATGATTTTATACTGATTTATTAGATATCGAAGTTATAACAGGTAAAATAACTAATATTAATTGCTATTTCGGTAACTACTCTAGCAAACCATAAAGTTTTTAATGCCTGGATGTGTCTTTTAAAAAAAATTATCAACTTCAAAAATACGTCACGACAATCGTGTGTGTTATTGTTTGGGCTGGTGATTTCGGTGTTTATTTATTGAAAACATACCGTAAGTAGCGTTTTTTAAGTTTACCCTGAATATAAATGTTTATAAACTATACTTTAAGAAGTAATTTCATGGTAAACGTTAGAACCACTCAAACGGAATATTATCATATTTATCCAATTACACCAAACATTTCATTAGTGCTTTTTAAGTGCAGGATTTGCGGTGTATTACTGCATTTTATTTGAGATGTAAGCAATGCGGAATAATAATTTTTATTTATAAAACTTGTATTTAAATTGAATCCTTTTCTAATTTGCGAAACCAAATAGCCGCCATTTTGCGGTAGGAGGAGCGCATCGCGTGAGCGGTTATACGAGTGCCTGACATGGGTGTCAACTACTACTAAACGTTCAAATTTTGCACCAGTATTTGACAGGCCTCTAAAATAAACTATAAACAATATACTATATATCACGTGTATCAATAAATACACATAAAACAAATTGTTTATTTATCTAAGAGTATTAATAAACACTTACCGATAATTAATAAAATTCTAGCTAATAAATGCACACAAACTACTCAAAGTCTTAACAATTTTTATAAGAGCACCAACGCACCTTCAACTCCGATCACCTGTTCGCTTGAGTGAATCGAAGAAAGCTTCTAAACGGAATTTATTATATGCCATTACTAGTACATTTGACACGGTTTTGTATATCAATACATGTTTTCTTATTTTTTTCAAAAAAAAAATGCAGAAGTATCATATCAGTGCATTGACTTACAAATAAATGGACGACGGGTCTAATACAAAAACCACGAAAAAAATGTCCCAAGTCAACCTATTCGAAATTTAAATTGTAATGTCATCGCAGTATCGCGCTGTCAGTAGAACAAATGAAGACTAAAGCGGAGTGTCGCGCTCTGTATACGATTTTAGCGCCTTACAAGTGCGGACACTTTTTAGCGCGGACCCGACGTCCATATAATTGTAAGTCAATGTATCAGTGTCAAAGATTGGTACATTTACCTTATTACTTTCTAAATTTGATACAACGAAGTATTTTCTTTTCATTACAATTAAAATCTGTAACCTTTATAATATACTTACTCAAAAAACTCAGTCGATTCGTATATAAAGCCAATAGACAATATTATGTTTGTTAGCAAGAACGTTGGCAATTTGATTAAAGGTTGTCCAAGCACAACGTTGTAAAATTGTTGTTATTGAATTGTTTGCAGACGAAACTATTTTAACAGACGTCGACATTCGATCTCTTGTTGACATGGGCCTCTCAATAATCAGATTTAGAATGACTATGATATCAAGAAGTCATCAAATAAAATTACTTGAATGCCTAGAACATGCTGAGGCATGGATGTGTGAGAAATATGGCACCAGTGCTTGGCCACTAGCCAAGTGTTTGGATTTGCCCAACGCTACGATCAGAACAGGCTACATAGATGAGGTTAGATAAGAACGATACACTTTTTCTCATATCCTTAACGACAGTACTATAGTAGTAGATGTAGTAGTAGATGGCGACTGCGGAGCTCATCATAAGACATGTCTAGAAGTCTCCTCTAATGATTTTTAAGAGATTTGGAAATCTTTTTTTATATATATTCTTTATTGTACAAAGAAAAGACACATGAAACACACGTTACAATGGACATATACAAAGGTGAGCTTATCTCTATAAGAGATCTCTTCCAGCCAACCCTAGCCGTGGTGCAAAAATGAAGTCTGCGGGACTAATTAATGTACAACAAAATTTAAATTTAAATGTAAATAAAATATAAATGATAATTTTTCGTTATTATCTAACATATACTCTTATCCCAAATGGGTATCCAATGACGTAGGTCAAAGTAAGTAAGTATTTTCCTCCGCCTACAAACTAATAATAAATCTAAACTGTACAAGGTTTTTCGTGTGTGGGTATGGAACCCATTTATTGAAAATATTGAAATTAAGTAAAATTTAAATAAGGCAAGTTTTTATAAAAAAAAATTGACGTCAAAAGTTCTTGGAATTACATCTAAGTTTTTTATCGAAATCGGTCACCGGAAAGTCCGCGAAGCCGGATTCGTCCTCTAGTTTGCCACCCTTAGAGGTGGAATATTTCAAATTTTAATGGGACCAGTACTCGGTACCCTCTTCCCAACAAAAAAGAATCATCGAAATCGGTTAACAAATGCCGAAGTTACATACATACATACAAAATAAAAAATGCAGTCGAATTGAGAACCTCCTCCTTTTTCTGGAAGATGGATAAAATCATAAGCTTAAGCAACCACTTTTCTGAAATAAAAGAAGATTCACCAGCGCATTGCGTAATATATTAATTTGATATTCGAGATTTGTGAATGTTTAAAAGTAAAACCTCTAACTAAGGGTGAGGAAAAAATCGTGATGAAATCTGCGAATCAAAGATGGTTAGTCGCCTAAACTTTCTCCTTGGAGACCAGGGAAAGAGAGGGGGACCCATCGCCAACTGTAGGACGTATTGACGGAAATGACGGCAACGACGACAATGATGATAATATTGGAAGTGTGACGATAGTATAACCCCGGTTACTACTTTCCTTCTGCAAGAGTGATTCGTTCTGTGCATCGTTTAGGTTCTCGGGTGTCACCCAAAGACAATTTTTTGAGGAGACTGGTATCATGACTGTGACATCACAGTACATTTACTCAAATATTTTGTATGCCCGTAAAAATGTACATAATTTTGTTAAGAAAGAAGGTATCCATAATATTAACCTTAGATTTAAGTCTAGACTAGTAGTAGTAGACTTCGTTTAACCAAGGTAAACTATTATTTTATGGGGAACTGTATACGTTTTTACAATTACATTCCTGAGTATATATTAAGGTTATCATTTCCTAAGTTTAAAACTTGCATTAAAAGTATTTTATTTGAAAATAGTATTTTTACGTACAATATACTTTTACCATTGTCTTTGCAAGTCTTTCTCTGCGTACTACCACTACAATCCATTTATGGAGTGGGGTGGCCCATACATTTTGGTCCTTCGAGGAACAAGTATTTTCCAGTGTTGTTGTGCTAGTGACGTTAGCGAATCAGTACGACTGGCCTCTCACAAGCGGGTCTCACCAGTCGTATTGAGAAGGCGCATATAGCGTTATTAGGTGCAACTGCACTGAGAAATAGAAATCTACGGAAACTTCGTGATTTTATTGAACTAGTGTCACGCTGCTCTACGAGGCAACAAACTACAACTTACTTTACAACTCTACGAGTCAAGAAAACTACAACTTAACAACGCTGCTCTACGAGGCAACAAAAGTACAACGTACTTAATTTATCAACGTTCTCTATGAGACAACACACCACCACTTACTTAACAACTCTACGCAACAACAAACTACACCTAACTAAACAACTCTACGAGCCGATAAAACTACAACTTACTATCTACAAGCTAACAAAGCTATCTACTTAACTATTTACTAAACTTCTCAACTTTTTTCAACTTCAATGAAGGATGGGTAACATGGAAGAACTGAAAGTGCAAGAGCAATGTTTCAACAACATCAAGTCGCTATGTACTAACTATGAGAAAGATAGTAAAGCAAGAATAACTGAAGAATATCTAACTACTCGACTCAAGTCCCTCGAATGCCAATAGAAGGACTTCCAGGAGCGACACTTTACTCTCGTTGAAATCATGAATGATAAAAGCCTAATATTTCACCGACGGTATTTTTAGCAAAACAAAGCAGCTGTATAAAACTACAAAAAAGGATATGGAATTCCTCTTGTTACAATTATGCGGGCGAAAAACTATAAACTTCGACTTAAGCGGAGTAGCGGAAGAAAGCACCGACGAACAAGTGAAAACACTACTCAAACGACAAGAGAGCAACCTCAAGGCTCTTGACCGTGCTATGTCTAAGATAGACTTGAAAATTGTAATGGAAAAATGGGAACTAGAAGATCATCTTTCTATTTTGAAATCAAAATGGGACATCACCGATAAACAACACTGTGGACTGGAGCCTAAACTGAAAGGCTCCAGGGTTCAATGTTACAACACGTTTGAGTCGATAGAAGACAAGTACGACGAAATGCGACGAAGCTTAAATAAACAAATTTGGTCGACTGTACATTACCAATCATCAGTACCGAACTTTGAGATCCCTGAATTTTCCGGAAGTTATACAAAATGAATTTCTTTCAAAGATCTCTTCGTATAGACGATCCACAATAACACTATGATCAACAAAGCCCAGAAGATGCAACATCTCAAAACAAAACTGCATGGTGAAGCTGAGAGATTGGTACAGCACCTCGGTATAAATGCTGAAAACTACAACTCGTGCTAGGAAATACTAACGCAGCGCTACGACAACCACCGTCTTCAGTTCACTTCTTTCATCAACACTATGCTTAACTTACCAGTCATACACCATCCAGACAGCTACAATCTCAAGAAATTTCATGACGTCATAACGGAATGTATGAATGGACTGTTAAATATCGGCATAAATACTACGACTTGGGACCCACTTATCGTACATCTAATGTCACAGAAACTCGACACCGCTACGTACACCGATTATATGAAGGAGTTAAATTCAAGATCACAGAGCTGCCGCAATTAAACGAATTTCTTTTCTTCCTGGAAAGTAAATTCATGGCATACGTAAGCATTAAAAATCAAAAGAAAGAAATAACTAATAAAAAAAAACAAGCCGCTCCGCTAAAAACCTAGAACAAACAGTTTCCTGCCATAAAACATTACTACGAGCCGAAGAAAACTTATACAAAAACATATCATACTACAATTAGTCAGTTTGGACCGTGCCCTCACTGTGATGGCAGTCACGTGTTAAGACATTGTCCAAAGTTCATCGAACTAGATTCGGTGCAACGAAACAACATTGTTGCGAAATTACACTTGTGCAAAAATTGCCTCTACAGTCACGGCAATGCTGAATGCGTGTACAAAAACGTGCGGAGAGTATAACATGAAACACCACACGTTGTTGCACAATTCCGTAAAGAAACCTGCGCCTATCCCAACTACTAACTATGGTGAAAAAATCAGTCAACACGACCATCCACTTCACATCAACAACAGAGCTCCTGTCATCTTGCTACTAATGAAATGGAAATTCTAACGTATATAGATAACGTCTGCAAACGGAACATATGTCACTCTACGCGCTCTACTAGACCAAGGCTCGCAAGTCAACCTGATTACTGAACAAGCCGCTCAATTACTACAACTTCCCAGGAAACGTTTCCATGCGACCATATCTGGAATAGAAACACTATCCGGAGACTGAAAGATAGGAAAATGACGATCTATTGCTGTCTCACAATTTTTACAACTAGAAAAACGGTTCAACAAAAACAAAAACCTCGCACTTATATACCGCGAAGTTATTAAAGAATACACCGAGTTGCAACATATGACAACAGCAGCGCATCCTGTTACCAGTAATGTGCCCGAGTGCTACCTACCTCATCTTGGCGTGTTGCGTGAACATTCGTCTACAACTAGACTGCGGACTATTTTTAATGCTTCTCAAAAAACTACCAGCGGCTTTAGTCTCAACAGCTTACAAGAAAAGGACCCAACCTACAGAAGGATGTCCAGGCCCTTATACTAAAATGGAGAACTTACAAATATGCATACACAGCGGACATAGAAAAAATGTATCGTTGTATATGGATCGCACACGACCAACAACGAGAGAGTTTCAACTTTGTACCGTTACATACGGAATGAAATGTGCACCATGACTACCTATGAGAAAACTTAAACAGTTAGTCATAGATGATGGTCACAAATATCCAGATACTGCTCTCGTTTTACTAAACGAATTTTACTTTGATGACTTAATCAGTGGCCACAGCACTATCGACGCAGCTAAACAACTTCAATCTTCACTCATCGAGTTACTACGCGGCGCGGGGATGAAATTACGTAAATGGTCGGAGAATCATCCTGCGTTACTTGAAAACTTATCAGAAGATCAAATTTCCACTCAACAGATTTTTGACTTCAAACACGAGGAAACTAAAAAGACACTCGGCCTCGGATGGAACACCAGTGACGACACGTTCTCGTTTAACTGGGAGTTAGAAGAAAAATCAAGACTTCAATTAACTAAGCGCCACCTACTATCGGAGATCTCTAAACTATATGACCCTCTAGGATGGTTGGCACCTGTAACTGTACTGCTAAAACTATTATTTCAAAAGGTCTGGATGAGCAAACTAACATGCGACGAATCATTACCGATCGATGTACAAAAAGAGTGTCTAAAACTCCCTGAAATCAAGGCCATCACACTTAACAGGTGGCTTGGAGGGACGCCACAAAACATTGAATTACTGGGCTTTTGCGACACCAGTGAAAAAGCATACTCATGCGTCACATAAATGATAATGGCGTACCTACTACAACTCTACTCGCCGCCAAAACCAGG